TCCTAGAACAATTCCATCAATGTTGCCTCAAAAAAAACCTGCAAATCTCTTGGGAAGACAAGCAGACAAATGTCAGAGTGGTGGAAGAATCAAAGACCACCAGCATTGAAGCGATGGTCCTCCGCCATCAACTCCGCTGGACCGGCCATGTTGTCCGGATACCCGACCACCGTCTCCCAAAGCGGTTGCTCTACTCCGAACTCAAGGACGGAAAATGGAATGTTTGTGGGCAGGAAAAGAGAGTTAAAGATGGGCTCCAAGCCAACCTTAAAAACTCTGAGAATTGGGAAGCCCTGACCCTGGAGGTCAGCTGTGATCAGCATTGCTGTAGAATTTGAAGAGGCACAAATGGAGGGCGAAAAAGAGAAACGTGCCAAAAGGAAGGCACATCAAGCCAACCCCCGACTGAGACCGCCTTCCACCTGGAAACCAATGCCCTCACTGTGGGAGAACATGCAGATCAAGAATAGGGCTCCACAGCCACCTACGGATCCACCGCCAGTACACCAATCTTGGAGGACAATCCTACTTGGACAACAAGGTATCGCCTAAGTAAGCACAAAGGAGCAGAACAAGCTACGCATGGGTGCCTTCTATTACCGCCCCGCCAAAGCAGTACCTATTTATCTACTCATGTTCCTGTTTTCGAACTGCTAGGTGAGCAGAAGCTGGGCTGATGGTTGGGAGCTTACAACAACCCAGGCTTGAACTGTCAACCTTTTGATCAGCAAAATTTTCTGCAGCTGGCGGTTTAACCCGCCGTGCTAAAACCCGACCCTATTTGAGATATACCTGTTCCCTTGTGGTTTTGTCCTTTAAATGGGACAAAAGGGAACATGTTTCAAAGGTGAGCCAAGGGCAACGGGTGGCAGTAGCTGGCTTAACTTGCAATTTCCTTCTTGCTAGTTTAAAGCATACCCTTGTGTTTTGTTTTGTATTTTCATTTCCTCTGCTGGAGGAACGAGAAGGGTGGAGGTGGGCAGAGATGGGTGCTGTTGGAAGCTGGATACTTTTCCCAGGAGGAGAAATGAGTACAAAGTGTCCTAAAAAGTTCTTCTCATTGCCCCCTTTTTCTTACCTTCACCATCCCAAGGGCAGATGAGGAATTTTTGCAAGAAATGGCTGCACTGCTTTGATTGAAAGGAACTGCATCCTGCAAATTAAACAATAGATTCCGGGAGAAATGCAGACGGTTGAGTGTTTTCAAGGTAATGAATGTAAAGAACTGAGCTGTCTTTGGCTTCCTGCAAAATCTACATGGATTTTGCAACATCTCCATGGATTTAACTGTGTAATTGGGATCACAAGGTCTGGTTCATAAATGTGCCAGCTCAGTAGTTCTCATTATAATGGGAAGGGTTGGGCCTTGCATTATGCTGTCAGCTTTTCACCATGTGCTTAACGTTACATGAGTTTGTCCTCTCTGCTCTCCCTTTTTCCTTCTTATGTTAGGTGTATATGCGTTTGAGTGGAGAGGGTTTTTTCAAAGCTATTTCAAGGTTAAACTAATGTCAGGAGCAAATAATGTATCCTCCCTTGATTAGCATTGAATGGCCTTGCAGTTTCAAATCCTGGCTGATTTCTGCCTGGGGCAATCCTTTGTTGGGAGGTGATTAGCAGTCCCTGATAGTTTCCTGTGTGGAATTGCCCTGTTTTCTGAGTGTTAATAACGTATCCTCCCTTCATTAGCATTGAATGGCCTTGCAGTTTCAAAGCCTAGCTGGTTTCTTCCTGGGGCAATCCTTTGTTGGGAGGTGATTAGCAGGAGGGTTTACATAGTTGCGTATTCATACATGGCTGAGGGGCTTGGATGTTGTCAGTCCTGTCTCTTGAGAGAGCATGTTTCCTGTGTACCTGTTGCTGGGTTAATAAGAAGGAGAAAGACCTTGGTCTTCTTATCTTGCTGTTGCGTAAGTAAACAACCTCCCTCCAAAGAGGGAATGCTCATAAATCTCTGTTTCTTAACTGTACTTCTGAAAAATCTGGAAGCTTTACATTCCAATCCGGTGTCTGCAGGCTAGTCCATTTTTTAAGGCAACAAGACTTAAAGCTTGGGTTTTAACCACCAACATTAGAAATACTAAAATGAGAGGGAGTCAAGTCTTTTATGTTTTCATTTATGTATTTACTTGTGGTGTACCCAGGGTAGCTTAACTGAGGTGGAGCCTTAGAGAGAGGTGAGCAAAATAATAATAATAATAATAATAATAATAATAATAATAATAACAATAACAATAACAACAATAATAATAATAGCCAGTCAAGGTGGTCCCAGTGGTGATTGGCACACTGGGTGCAGTGCCTAAAGACCTTGGCCTGCACTTAAACACAATCGGCACTGACAAAATTACCATCTGCCAGCTGCAGAAGGCCACCTTACTGGGATCTGCACGCATCATTTGCCAATACATCACACAGTCCTAGACACTTGGGAAGTGTACGACGTGTGACGCAATACAAAATCCAACAGAGTGTCTTATCTTGTTGTGTTTCAAATAATAATAATAATAATAATGCCTGGGATTGCAACAAATAATAATAATAATAATAATAATAATAATAATAATAATAATAAAAAAATTACCTGGGATTTCAACAAATAATAACATTATAGTTGGGAAGTGTCCGACATGTGATCCAATACAACAGCCGGAAGAATGTCTGCTGTGGACTCATCTTGTTGTGTTTCAAATAATAATAATAATAATAATAATAATAATAATAATAATAATAACAACAACAACAACAACAACAACAACAACAACAACAACAACACAAATAACATCTGCTTGCAACAACTAACTGGTGGGATCACAAGCCAGAAATGAGCACATCAAATTCCTCTGGGACTTCCGAATTCAGACTGACAGAGTTCTGGATCACAACACTCCTGACCTCATTATCGTGTTAAAAAACAAAGTATGGACCATCGATGTTGCAATCCCAGGCAACAGCACAATTGAAGAGAAACAACTGGAAAAGTTGACACAATACGAGGATTTAAAGATTGAATTGCAAATACTCTGGAACTCACCAGTCATGGTGGTCCCAGTGGTGGTCAGCACACTGGGTGCAGTGCCTAAATACCTTGGCCTGCACTTAAACACAATCAGCACTGACGGAATTTCCAGCTGCAAAAGGCCACCTTACTGGGATCTACATGCATTCTTCGCCGATACATCACACAGTCCTAGACACTTGGGAAGTGACTGGTGTGTGATCCAGTACAACAGCCAGCAGAGTGACCTTGTTTGCTGCGTACTAATCTTGTTGTGTTTCAAATAATAATAATAGTAATAATAGTAAATAATAGTAAATTTTTTTTGCAAGAGATCTAACATGGACACACCATAAATGGGAGGCGGTTTTCCCTCCAAAATTACTGTTCAAAGTAATTACTGTACCGGCTGTTAGGAATTGTGGGGGTTAAAGTCTGAAACACCTGGAGGGTCCACGTTTGCCCAAGCCTGCTTTATAGGGACAGTACTTTATGTGAAACTGCAATTCCCAACTTGATCCTCATATTAAAGGTGCTCATTGACTGCCAATGGACCGCTTAGCCATTCTGCATTTGTGGTGTTTTGCCGAGGAATTTGCGTGACTTGGGAGGTTTCAGTTCTAGAGCAGATGAATCACAAGTCAATAAAAGACTTCAAGAACAAATGAGGGTTGGCTTTGTAGATGATCAGGCCATTATTTGCCCAGCGGATGGCTTTATAACATGTGCCTTGTGCAGTGACTTTGTTTTCCACCAATATTTTGACAAGGTGTGTGCTAAGGATTTCTTGAACAAGCCTTTTACTCTTGTTTTCTGTCAAGGTGGAGTTTTTTTTGGCATGTCAGGAGTGACTTGAGAAACTTCAAGTCGCTTCTGGTGTGAGAGAATTGGCCGTCTGCAAGGAGGTTGCCCAGGGGACGCCTGGATGTTTTGATGCTTTACCATCATCATTGTGGGAGGCTTCTCTCATGGTGAGCTGGAGCTGACAGAGGGAGCTCATCCATGCTCTTCCCAGAGTCAAACCTCCGACCTGTCGGTCTTCAATCCGGCTGGCACAAGGGTTTAACCAGTGGAGATGTCTTTTGAGTATATGCGGACGCATGAAGGACGCATGAGAATAATTCACCATGATTTGTAGGAGTTGTGGGTACTGGGATGTATAGTTCACCTGCAATCTAAGAGTGCTCTGAACTCCACCAAAGATGGAATCAGATCAAACTTGGCACACAACGCCCCCATAACCAACAAAAAAAAACAAAAAACTGGAGGTCTTTGGGGAAAATTCACCTTGATTTGGGAGAGTTGTAGTTCACGTACATCCAGGAACGCTGTGAACCCAAGCACCAATGGATCTGGGCCAAACTTGGCACAGATACCTGAAATGCTGAAGTTTGATTACTGGTTTGAGGGGAACTGACCTTCCTTTCTGGGAGTTGTAGTTCACCCAAAATCAGAGAAACTGACCTCCAGCGATGATGGACCTGGACCAAATTTGACACACAAAATCCCCATGACTAACTCAACCTACTGGAGGGGTTTGCGGGGACTGACTCACCATAGTGGGAGTTGTAGTTTACCCTACAGCCAGAGAGCACACTGGACCCCACCGATGATACATCTAGAGCAAACTTTCCCAACATAGCAAACTTTAAATACTGATGGAGTTTCTCCTGGCATGGTGTGAGTTGTAGTTCACCCACAACCTTATGCATTTTGTATGATGCAAAAATTGAATTTTTCAATAACTCGAACAACACTGGGTCCTCAAGCAAGTTTAATAAATAATAGCAGAGATTTCCTGACATGTTTGATTTTGAAATGAGGTCAATGTTTTTGAATGGAGCAGCCTTCTACCTGCAATCTGAAATGCTAGAGCCCAGGCCAGGTTTACCACCTTGGTCAGAATCAGTCCTGAATAATACTTCAAGCTCTCTAACAGCATTAGTATTTTTCATTCCAAATTATTCCAATTTCTCTTTCTCTCTCTCTCTCTGTTCTTTAGGATGCAGCTCTAACTTATGGTGAATCTCCGTACTTGATTCCTGTGGTTTGACCGAAGTTGCTGGAGCCTGCATGCTGCTTCATGCAGTCACAGTAAGTGTAAAGCTTTGCTTTGTTGGCGGAAGCGAAATTACAGCAGAATATATCGTATATACTTGAGTATAAGCTGAGTTTTTCAGCCCTTTTTTAGGCTGAAAAAGTCCCTCCCAGCTTCTACTGGTGTCAAAGTTTTTAATTATTTTACTCTGTTATTATTATTATGATTATTACATTAATTATTTTATTCTATTTATTATTATTATTATGATTATTACATTTACATTATTTTATTCTATTATTATTATTTTATTACATTTATTATTTTACTCTATTTATTATTATTATTACATTTATTATTTGACTTTATTATTGTTATTATTACATTTATTATTTCACTCTATTATTACGATTGTTACATTTCCATTATTTTACTCTATTATTATTATTATCATTACATTTATTATTTTACTCCCTTTATTATTATTGGAAGAATACGTATGCACATTTACATTGAAGAAGGTTAGAATAATGGTTTAATCGGAGTAGGACAGTCTTATCTTAATTTACAGTTTTATGTAAATATTCAAAAACATTTAACCAACGGATGCCTCAATTAATGTAATGTTATTGGTATCTATTTTAGCTGCTGCAATTCCCACCCACGGCTTATATTCATGTCAATACATTTTTCTAGATTTTTTGTTGTAAAATTAGGTGCCTCGGCTTATATTCGGGTCAGCTTATACTCAAGTATATACGGTACTTTATCTTTTTCAAACTTTTTGTTAATATAACAGAATGGGCTCTAGCCCTCAAAAGAAACAACCCTTTTCAACTTGGCATTCTATGGATGTGTTGAACTGCAACTCCCATCATGCTTGAGAGAATGGGTTGATGGGAATTGTAGTTCTGCATATCGTGAAGGGCTGGACATAGCTGTTAGCTTGCATTTAGTGGTCTGGGACTCTTGAGCCTTGCCACTAGATCTCTCCTTCTTGCAAGGCACCGGCAAAAATCCCACTCCGACTAAAGATACCTTCCCTCTGTGACATTTAGTACTTCTCTGAAAGTGCTATTGGAAAAATTTGGAAAACTTTAACAACAACAACATATAATAATAATAATAATAACAACACCAACAACAACAACAACAACAACATGAAACACATTCACATCTGAGGCAAGTGTGAATATTGCAGTTGGCCAGCTTGATTAGCATTGAATAACCTTGCAGTTTCAAAGTCTGGCTGCTTCCTGCCTGCAGGGAATCCTTTGTTGGGAGCTGTTAACAGCCAGGCTTTGAAACTGCAGGCTATTCAATGCTAATCAAGTTGGCCAATTACAGGCAGACAAGAGTCCTTTCTCCTACCTTGGACATTATTCCACAGATATATAAACCTCACTTGTCTAGTTTCCAACATACTTCAATACCTCAGAATGCCTGCCATAGATGTGGGCGAAACGTCAGGGGAGAATGCTTCTGGATCATGGCCGTACAGCCTGGAAAACTCACAGCAACCCAGTGGTTCTGGCCATGAAAGCCTTCAAGAACACACTGCGAACTGCTTTGCTAATATGTTCGACATATCATAATGTTGATGTTCTGTTTCCATTTTGACAATTGAATAATGTTTGAGTTCCAAGTACTGCAAACAGCAAATGCATAGGTCTCATCCAGAATATTGTTTGTTTTAGGTGGGCTGGAATTGATAGGACACATGGTCTGTCCTGCAAACATAGCAAAACATGGAACTGTACTTGCTGGAAATCCCAGTTAGTCTGACTACAGAAAGAAAACATTATGCATTTTATTTGATCTCTTTCTCTGTTGCCCAAATGGGAAGCCGAACTGGAGCATAGAATCGGAGTAGGGAATCAGCTGCCTTGCTGGAATTGGTTCCAAATAAAAGAGATGCCTCTGATAAGTTCAGCAATGTGAAGAATCTGCTTTCTAAAACCCTGTTTTGTGAAAGAAGAACTTGGAGCATGTGGTGCAAGCTGATATTTTGCACGAGGCACTTGGCGGTCCAGAGAACGTGCTGATTTTGCATTGGAGTAAAGTTGTTGTGTAAAGAAATTCTTTGCAATGTGAGTTACGGCCAAAACATCTCATACTCAGCTATAACTATCTTCTACGTTTTGACAAGCTGAAAACCATTGTCCACACTGCTTTTGGGTAATGAGAGTTTCAGTCCCAACATATTTGGAGGGCATTGGGTTTGGATGGACTGGGTGCCACTTGGATGCCATTTTAATGTAGGAATGAGATGCTGATTTGCAGAGTTGCAATACAGGCAATTTCATATTTTAATTTTCATATTACAAAGTATAATTGATCATGTTTCAAGGCAATAATAGAAAGTAATATGGTGATTGGCACACTGGGTGCAGTGCCTAAAGACCTTGGCCTGGACTTAAAAACAATTGGCGCTGATAAAATTACCATCTGTCAGCTGCAAAAGGCCACCCTACTCGGATTTGCATGCATTATTCGCTGATACATCACACCGTCCTAGACACTTGGGAAGTGTCCAACGTGTGATCTAATACAAAAGCCAGCATAGTGATCTTGTTTACTGTGTACTCATCTTGTTATGTATTAAATAATCATAATATAAACATAATAATAATAATAATAATAATAATAATTATTATTATTATTATTATTATTATTATTCTGACACAAACACACAGTATGACACAGAAAATGAGATCTTGTGAATACCGTAAAAATACAATGCAGAGAAGAAGAGAAAACTGACCAAAGAAGGCTCTCCATGGATAGTTCCTGGGAAAATAATGAGAGCAAAACTGTCAAGGAAAAAACATGGATGTGGCTCACAAATAGAACTTTGAAGAAGGAGACAGAGGGCCTGATTCTGGCAGCCCAAGAACAAGCCATTAGAACCAATGCTATCAAAGATTTGAAAAGTCGACTACAGATTCCAAGTGTAGACTTTGCAAGGAAGCAGACGAGATGGATCCCATCCTCAGCTGCTGCAAGAAGATTGCGCAGAGAGACTACAAGCAGAGGCATAATACCGTTGCTCAGGTGATCCACTGGAACTTGGGCCACAAATACCATCTGCCTGTGACAAAGAACTGGTTGGATTACAAGCCTGAAAAAGTTGCACAAAATGAATACTTCAAACATCTCTGGGACTTCCAAATTCAGACTGACAGAGTTTTGGAGTTTTGACCTCACGATTTGGAAAAAAACCCAAAGTATGGATTGTTGATGTTGCAATCCCAGGTGATAGCAGAATTGATGAGAAGCAACTGGAAAAGCTTACACAATATAAGAATTTAAAGATAGAACTTCAAAGACTCTGGCACAGGCAAGCCAAGGGGGGTCCCAGTGGTGATTGGCGCACTAGGTGCAGTGCCTAAAAACCTTGGCTTGCACTTATACACAATTGGCGCTGACAAAATTACCATCTGTCAGCTGCAAAAGGCCACCCTGTTTGAATGTGCACACATTATTCGCTGATAGATCACACAGTCTTAGACACTTCGGAAGTGTCCGACGTGTGATCACATACACAAACTAGTGGTGATACATAACTAAGGAAGGTACAGTAGGTCATTTAAGGAATGCTTACTTTTGGAATAATGTATATTGAAATAAGTCCTGTACGGCAAAATTTTGTTGATTGTTGGGATGTATCAAAATAAATAAAAAAAATTAAAAAAAGCATACAAAAACTAGTGATCTTGTTTGCTGTGTGTACTCATCTTGTTGCGTATCTAATAATAATAATAATAATAATAAGAAGAAGAAGAAGAAGAAGACAACAGCCAGCAGAGTGATCTTGTTAGCTGTGGATGTATCTTGTTGTGTTTCAGATAATAATAATAATAATAATAATAATAATAATAATAATAATAATAATAATTTGAAATGCAACAAGAGTTGTCAGCAGAGTTATCTTGTCTGCTGTGGACTCATCTGGTTGTGTTTCTAATAATAATAATAATAATAATAATAATAATACTCAAGTCCTCATTGGCTGGTGACATAAGAATTCAGTCGGTAGATTTACATCTCTGATTCCAGTTCTAGGTTTGCACAGCTAGTGTCTCTTGTACCTTATTAGTCAGTTCAGCTGGAATTGCAAACCCACCCCAGTATGAGCTTTTGAGTCAGCCATGCTCACATGTTGGGAGCAACTGGGGACCACCTGTCTTGCAACAAGCTGACTTTGCTTAGACCAGCTGTCAACATTATGGAGCATGCCACACTGTATAAACTTATGCTAACCAAGCTGCGGTGTTATGTTTGGCTTGGTCCTGTTTTGTATATATATATATATAAAAGTAGACGGAACAAGATTATTTATTTGAGAAGTGCCAGGAGCTTAACAATGAGGCATAGAGCAGGGCTAGCTCACCATTGGGGGTTTCATTTCCGCATGCCTTTCTATGCTACGTGAGTCATAGTGGTTAAAACAATTGTGTATTCTCTGCTCCAGTGTGTACAGCAATACTTGTGGCAAAACACGGAGCATTGTGTTACTGATTCCCCAGACAAGGGAAAAGAGGCTTATGACGAAGCTGAGCTCAGTTGGTATTATTAGAGCTGGCCAATAATCCTTTTTGCACATCCATTACCGCATCGACAATGTTTCTGTTTTATCTGAGGTAAAACGCAGACATGATGGAAATGGTGAGTGTTTTGGAGTTTTGGTATCTTTTCGGGGCTTTTAGGACAGTGTGATGTTTTGTGAAGTGTGTGGGGAGAAAAAAATGGAAGGAAGGGCAGACAGTAGACAGATGTCCAGATTAAAGAAGGGAGGTCTGTTGCTGTCCTCCATTCCTGTGAGTGATGGTGGTGGAGAAGACAGCTTTTGCGACTTTTGGCATCACTTTTCCATCTGCCTTCTACAGTCTTGTAGATAATTAGTCTGGGTTTGTTGTAACAGCAGATTTTGAGAGAGAGAATAATGTTTTAACATTTTAGATTTTTCCCAGAATAACTGTGAATTATTGGGTTCACAGGTAGTCTCCAGATAGTTTTCTCACTGACTTGTTTTCTTGGAAACTTGCACACATTC